AAGCACATTTATTAATACATTTTGTGTACATATATATTAGTTTAAGAATTTTTGATGAAATAGTTTTCCCAGATATTGTACTTGAAAATCTAAGTATTTTGTGTGGAAAAAAATGTTTATCCCCCCTAAGACAAATTCCTAATTACGCCACTGGTTCACAACATATAAATAAAATTAAAAATTAAATATTACCATTGCACATTCGCAATAAATTGTTCTTGCATGCCATAAAAAATTGTGGTTCCTTAAGAACATTTACATTAGATTCTACATGATCAAATATTTTTTCACAAACATCCATAGTAGTCACATCAAACATATCTGATAATATGACTACTGGCATTATAGCAGTACACATTTCATTCCGTACAAGTTCAATTGTAAATGATGTCCACATCTTACAAACATCATATAAATTTGACGGCTTTGATAATACTATGTCTAAAACATAGCACCTTAATACTTGATCTAATATTGAACGTCTATCTGCATCACTAATCAAACAACAAAAAAAAATTGTCTTAAATATTAAAAATCATTTCAGTTACTAATTAGATTTGAAAAAAATAAATATAATATTTTTCATGAAAATATTTACAATTGACATTATTCAATTTATTCTATGTTATATTCTAAAATGAATTACCTAAGATTGAAATAATTGTTTTCATGAACAATTTTTTTAATAGAAGTAATTGTTGTAGTATTTGGTTCTATCAGAATATTCTAAAACATAAAAATACATCACTAAGTATTAATTAAATTATTTCCCAATAAAAATGTAGTTACCTTTAATTCTTCACGAAATTTACTGACAGACATCATAGTCTATTGTATGGCTTGGCCTCGGATAGTTAGGTAAAGATTGTATTACAATAAAATTGATATTGTATAATTTAAACACACCTTAAAACAAAATAATAAATTATTTGAATATTATTTGAATTTAAAAATATATGTACTTACTATCAAAATATAAAAATAGTAAAAACTATCATTAGTTATAAATACTAATATTTTACTACWAGTATTAATTATAAATGGTAGTTTATATAATCAATGGTAGTACCTATATAGTATATTGTAATTATCAAAAATACAACATTGAAATCGGAAATTCGGCTTCCGGTAAGCGATGTATTGTAAAACAAACTAAACAATATTTTACCAATTAAATATTAATTGATTGTTTATACAACGGACTTACGGACTGCAAGTCTACACTTTACAAACACAAAAAAAAAATTAAAAAATGTTTAAAACTGTCTAACTACTACAGTACTACACTACTACACCGTTTTATCTACATCGTGAATTGTGATTCGTGATGTAAATTACGGTGCTTGTTGCTTACCAGTAAGTTACCACCACGATTAAATTGTGGTTACCACGAAGTAAATATGATAAGGTGATTCCAGTGGTAAAATCATAGACATTTATCCATGAGTACAAAATGTACAATTCATGTTCATCTTCATCCTACCGTCAGCTATTGGATTTTGAAATTTTGATATTTGAGTTGGCGACTGTTATCTATTTAATATTTATCCATTTTATCCGCCTATCCGCCCAGATTTTTCCACAGACTTCTATAATAGAAGTAAGTATAGATGTCTGTGGATTTTTCACATAATA